GTGCTTGGGACTCACACTCCGCGAACCAAATCGACTGCCTTCGATATTTTCAAGAGGGGGGGAGGGGGCCACTACTGTCCAACCCATGCGCCTGTCCAAATGGCCCAAAGAATCCCAGCCGGGTTTTTGGAGGGATTGTCAGGAAGAGAAGGGGAGCCCCAGGGGGGGAGGCGGGGGCAGGGGAGCAAGCGACGCCTGTCCACCTTCCGCGCCAGATCAGGCGCAGCGACGCTTGAGAATCTCGACGAAAACTGGAGAGAAACCAGCACCACAGTAGGGGGCTAGCGCCACGCAGCTCCTCCTTGAGAGTGTGCGCGCGGAGGCTGCGAGCGAGGTAGCTTAAGGGGAAAGGGGGCCAACCTGCTGGCAACGCCTTCAAAGCTTCCCGCCTGCTTGTTTGATGATTTTCGTGGCGCAAAGCCGGAAAGGCGCCGAACGTAAGAGCCAACCACGCGGGTGGGAGGCCAAAGCTGTAGGCACGGCTCTGGACACCCCTCGAGGAGAGTGCAGCTGGAGGAGTCCACGGGCGGGCAATCTCACCAAGATAGAAGCGCGGCGCCTAACTCCCGCCCGGGCAACCCCCTCAGGCCCCCTGCGCCCGGTTGTAACCGACAACACAACGCGAGGAGGAAGCCGCAAATAAAAGGCGCCAGCCTTAGAGGCTGGCCCCGTGGGGTGGTGTCTCTCTGTCTGAGAAGAGAACCCCGAGAGAGTCTGGCAGCCGATGGGCAGCGCCTTCCCAAGCTCCGCGAACTCCTTGATATTAAGTCCCGCGCGGTGGGTCTTCTTGCTCTTATTTTGAAGGCGCTGGCCGGATCCATATGAGAAAGAGAAACAGCCCAAGGCGCTGGGCGTTCGGGTTCGCGCCGTGCCCGTTTCTTCGGGGGTCCACGCTGCTCCCCATCTTTCCGGGGACGTGGCGCCCTTGCTTTGTCTTTGTGGGGCCATGCTGTAGCTTTGGAGCTTGCTCATACGGTGCCCCCGGGGTCCGGTCGTGTGGTGTTAGAGGAGGGGTGCGGCCGTGCGGTGCTTGGTTGGGGGGTCTGGTTGTGTCTTTTTCGGGGGTGTGCTCGTGCCGCTCCGGGTGGATTGGCTTTTGTCAAGCTGCGCCCCAGGGGCCATGTTGCGTGAGGGGGCTGAGCCGTGGCAATTTTGGAAGGCCATGGCGCGTTTAGAGGTCGGGGCGTCGGTCAATGTTTGGGGTTCGTGGTGTGCTAAGGGGGTCGCCCAGCGCTTGGGGCGCCTTTATGCGCCATATTGGCCACGTTGTCGCCGGAGCAAGGTTCTGGCATGCGTCGGGGAGCCAGAGCACGTCTCGAGGTCGCGGCGTCGATCTGTGTTCGGCGGGGTGTGGCGTGTCTGGGGTGGTCGTTCGTGGTGTTTTTGCGGGGGTCGCTCGGCGTTTAAGGTTTCACGCTGTGCCTCTTTAGTCGTGGCACATGCCTGCCGCGGGTTGGGTTCGTGCTCGCGGTGTGTGTGGAGGGTCATGGCGTGCCTTGCAGGTCATGAGGTGTCCGGGTTCACCTCATGCTTGGGGGGTCGCGCGGTGCCCCTCGGGCTTCGGGGGGCTTGCTACATAATGCCCAGAGGCTCAGGCTGTGCCTGCTCAGGGGGTCCGGCTTTGCTTTTTGGACTGTGCAACGCTTGGGAGGTTCGTTATCGTTGCGCTGCGGCGCTTTAGAAGGTCGCGCGTTGCCTGGTGGGTTGCGTCACGTCTTGGGTGCTGTCCGCGTTGTGTCGGGGGGTCATGACGCTTGGCGGGGGCAATGGTGTCCATGAATAGGCTGCGCTGTGCCTGGGGGCAGGTTTTTCCCTGGGGGCAGTGAGTGCGGTGCCGCTTCCGTGGGCGGCCTCTCATTATTCTGCGGAGGCCGTGCGCATTCCTGCGGGTCTGAGGGGTCACGAAGTGCAGGGGGGTGCTTGTGTGGCTCGCTCGCTGGAGGAAGATCGCGGGGAGCTAGCTTGGAGGGATGCACGGCCGCGGTGCGTGTTCACGGTCGTGCAGATCTTGGGGGGCCGCGTGGTGTTTTAAGCGCTACGCGACCGCAGTGCCACCGGGCGGCCGCGTTGGTTTCTACTAAGGGGCCCCGCTGTGTCTGAGTGGCCGCGGCGTGTTTGGTGGGTCGTGGTGTGTCAGCGTCGGGAGAAACTCAGCGAGCTTTGTTGGTCGTCGTGGTGTGTGCAGGGGGTCGCCATCCATGTTCCGCCTTGGGTTGCGCTTTTTCAGTTAATACCTTCGGGCGGGGCGTAGTGCTTCACCCACTACCCTTCGGGGGCGCGCGGTGTGTGGTTGTGAATATCTGGCCGCGATGGTCTTCAAGGATTGCGATGCGCCTTGGGGGGCATCGAGTGAGGAGGGCCCTCCTTGGCGTCCATGCTGGCGGCAGTGCTTGCCTGGGGTTCATGCTGTTTCTCGAGGCTGCGCGGTGGGGAGGCAGCTAAATCCATTCGCGGTCGTGTAGATGCTTCAGGCAGGTCATGCCGTCGCCGTGGCGCTTATATTTTGAGGAGTCGACGGCGATGCGTTGGTTGGAGGGTCGTGGTCTGTTTCTCGTGGGTCGCTTTGTGCCAGCCTGGCGCCTTGCTTGGGTGGTGCTCGGGGGGTGGTAGGTGCTGCCCGTGGGTGCACGGGGAGGCGCGAAATGTTTCCCAGGAGGGCGGGCGCGAAGTGTTTCGGGAGGCATGCGGGTGCTGCAGCTGGGGCAGCGGGGCGAGCGGTGTTTTGCAGTGAGTTAAGAAGGCCACGCGGCGCCAGGGTGCGTGTGGTGTGTTTCAAGGGCCACGGTCTTCCATAAATATGGGCGCGGAATCGTGGCACCCTGGGGGCTGCGCGCTGCTCTTTGTTTAGTAGGGGGTCGCGTTGTGTCTTTAAAATGAGGGCCAAGCCTTTTCTTCTCCCTTTGTGGCTTGGCTCCCTTTTTTCAGTGGTGTCGCCGCGTGCTGCGTCCATTTGGTCGCAATGAGCTGCGGGGGGTCTGGTCATGGTGAGCCTTGGTAGGTTTGGCGCTGTGCTTCTGGGGTCCGTCGCGCTGTGCTTTGGTGCGTGGCCAGGCGGCTGCGCTTGTTTGGATGGTGCGCGGTCATGCGGGGCCTTATGATGTAGGGGCGAGCAGTCTCCATTAGTTACAGCAGTCGCCATTTGTTCGGGGGGTCATGGTGGTCCTTTGGGGTCGTGGGGTCGTGTCATAGTTGTCGCCGCGTTGTGTTCGGGGTGGTGGTGCTGTGCCCTTCGGGGTCGTGCTGGTGTGTCTTGGTTGTCGTGCCTAATGTCCAGCCATGTGCCAACATGTGGGTCTATGCAATGCTGTGCCCGGGTCCGTCACGCCGTGTCTTTGGGGCCGTGCTCAGATTTTAAATGCCATGGGGTGCCTCTGGGGTCAGGGGGTGCCGCATGAGAGTCGTGGCGCCTCTTGCGGTTTGGCTCTTTTTTCTTAGGGGGCGGGTCGTGTCATCAGCCAGGGGCTGCGTGTTGTCTGCGGGGTTGCTTCCGTCCTTTGTCTTTTGGGGGCTGGCTGCCTGTAGTAATTTGCGCGCGATGTCATGCTCTGCCCTGCCCCTATGCCCGTCCCCGTATTGTGCTCTGGGGGCCGTAGTGGGTTGCCTGGAGGTCGCGCTGTGTCTAGTCTTCTTGCTGGTCGTGGTGTGTATGTTAGTAAGTTTTGGGGGCCGTGGCGTCTTTGGTGCTTCGTGTGTTGCTTGGGGGACGCGCTGCGACTGCGTGGCCACGTTGTAGCTTGCGGCCGTGCGGTGGTGCTTAAGGGGTCACGCTGTGTTTGGGAGGCCGCGCTGTGTTTGGGGAGGTCGGTCGTGCTGCGTTTGGGGAGGTCGTGGGGCACTTTGGGGGCCGAGGCTGGACCGATGGGCAGCCCCCGCTCGTTGAGCCGAAGAACAAACCCGAGAGCAGCTAGCCTTCACGCGGATCCCACGAAGCGAGAAAGTGGGATATTTGAGGGATATTCTTGGGCTATTCGATGAGACAAGTCCCGCGACGCTGCAGACGCTGCTCCCGGTCTCTCTCGTTCTCTCACACCTCTCAAACCCACAGGCCCCACCACAATCCCCGCAAAATTGCCCCGCACCGACGCGCGCCCCCTGCGTCATTCTCCACCCAACCACACCAGCCACCACCTCCGGAAAGAAAACCACCCCCCCTCCCCATCCGCCCCGCGCCTGCACCTGAGCGCCCGCGCCTCTCGTCGCTCCTCTCTCATCTCCGAAGCTGCTGCCACTAGCCCACCACATGCCACAACATACACCAGCAGCAGCATCGTGGACATCAAGGGAAGAGCCAAAGGGCTGATCTGCTTCTTGTTCTTACATTCAAATAGCACACGCGATTTCATTTTTTTACATCTCTAAATCATGTTTTTCATTTTCACCACTGCCGCACCCGTTCCCAAGCTCCAAGCTCGTGCTGCTCTGAACTGTCAAGCAAGACAATCAAGCAACTTCTTTCATCTTTCAGTTCTGTATTCGGTTCAAATGATATCGACCCAAAGGAAAGAACCCCAATCACCAGGCCGATATGGTGAAGGAGGTAGCGCCAGGCTCTTCGTGTGGAAGTTCATAAATATGAAAGACACAAGAGATAAACTCGCATTATGTTGGTCGAACAACTACTACAATACATCATCACGATGAAATTAAATTTTTTCAAATACCTTATAAATTGTGTTGTTAAATAAATCGAAAACGCTGAACCGCGCGAAGCGGTCAGCCAATAGGTCGCAGTACCCACCAGCGGCCTCAGTCTACTGAATGAATAGAAAAGACATGATGGTAGATCCGTCTTCTTTAGATCTGAAAAATTCATATAATTGAGTAACGAAATTCTTCATTTATGGGACGACAATACTTAAACCTATGACCTGTTATAATTCACGCTAATCCTGCACATCTGAAACATCTGCCGCCTCCGCGACTTCCAACAAGCCGGAAGTTGTATCTCCTCCCAGGTTTTTGTAGTTCGGTCGTCTTCTTGTATTTGCAAAGAAGACGTTGCCACCACCTCGAATAATCATGATCATTGATGTTACCCATCAGTTCACGATCGAACTGATCACGCAAGGGCCAACACCAGGGACTTCTCACAAGTCCGAAACCCTCCTACTTGTTGTCACTCTCATCCACCTTCATCGCCTTCGCGTTCGAACGGAAGATCTTAGCTCTCAAAGAGCGCAGCAGGCTGTAGCTCTCTTCCGAGAGGAGAAACCCCAAGCCATCAATGTACGGCTCCGTCTTCTGCACCAAGTCAGAACCTGTGATGTGTTCAGAAGAGTGATACGAGTGGGCAACAGATACAAAATGGAGAAGATGGACTTTCGACATGAAACCTGACACGATAAGACCACCAAAAACCGAATCACTGCCAGATACATCGACAAGATAGATCAGTTAGCACATGGATCCTCCTCGACCATCGTCTTGAGCTTCGGGATAATCTTCGCAGCGTGCTCCGGCGCCATCTTCTTGGCCTTACAGAGACGATTCACGCAGCGCTTGACGATATCGCTCTCACCATCGCGGTTCAACCAAATCGGACGAAAAATATCGTAGGGAGTATCATCACCCAACAGTTGCTCCAGCTGCTTCTTCACATCGTCGGTAGTGTTGTCTCCATAGACCCACGAAACATGCTCCAAGGATGGGACTTCGCCATCAGCCAACTGGTCCAAGAACTTGCGCTGTTTCTCGTTGATGTCATAAGCGATCGCTTGGATCTCGTTGAAGTCCGCCTGCATCATGTTGGAACCCAGAGACTCGAGGTGAGCCAGCACGAAGTACCTGTGGCGTGAGGAGAAGGCAGCATGAATAGAGAGTAAATTGCAACGAGATGAAGCTATCAAATAAAACCCATAGGACGCAAGATGCAAAATAAAAACTAAATACTTCCAGCAGAGAGCGATCAACTGTACATGCCTCCGCTAAAAGTGAAACACTCTTCATATCTCTCACAGATCATAAACACATCCGACCAACAATACAGTGTCCCCACAGAAAAAAGTAAAACAATAAGTACTGACTCCAGTCCGCAGAGTTTTTAGCCTGGCGGATCTCATCCCACATCTCGGCACGCGTCTCAACGAAGAGGCGCAGCGTGTGGCATTCCTTGATCTCAGTACTGGCCAACGCGCACTCGTGGAACTCCTTGCCAGTCAGCGCACCGCTCATCATTTCCTTCGCAGTGGGAATGATCTCATGAGCAACTGCCACCTTGCCCAAAACGCTCCAAAACTTGTTTTGATCATCACAGGCAGCACGGTTATTGGCCAGACAGGTTTCCAGAGCCTCGACGCTACGAAGTAGCGCACCCTCTGCCGCGAACGTTTCGAATGCCTGTGGGGATGTTTTTGGAAAGTTGAAAAGTGAGTAAATTTTTTCGAGTCTTGGACGAGAAGATGAATACGATCCACGAAAAACTTTATACCTTGCTGCAGACAAGGATTTAGAAACCAGAGACAAGAAAAACGAACTACATCAGATGCTACAGGTGAGAACGATAAGAAGACCTACCTACCATGGACCGAAAAGCGAGCACGAATATAATGAAAGCACCTGACCTTATCCAAGTGCGCGCTGAGTCCTTTCTGCGATAGCATGCTCGTCACACGGGCCAACATGCTCTGAAGCAGCGGCGTCTCTGCCTCCTCGAGGGTGATCTTGGCCTCGCGCAGCTTGAGCTCAGTCATGTTCACATCTCCGATCACAGACGTGGCACTGGTAGAAGATTGGTCCAGCCCGTCGGCATTCAGGCTCAGCGGATCATCACCAGAAGCGTCTCCTTTTCCTCGACTGGCGTCGCGAATCTGTTGCGCCACGATCTTCGCCCTGCAGACTTTCGGGCCGACAATCTTCAGAATCATCTCGTTCCTGTAGGGAGTGATTGAAAGGGATATGAAAAACAGACGTGAGAAGAAGATGCGACCCTAACAATCAAACTACCTGAGGGAGAACAGGGCGGAACTTCAATTACTAGCAGATCAACCACAGCAGGCTAATTGACTCGAGGAAAAGTAACGAAGTCAAAAACTGTAGTACTTTTCAAAGAAATCCATCGGCTTCAAGTCGCTTTTCTTCATCCATTGCGCAATCTGTGTGCAACCATAGTCAGCCAAACGAGTATAAGCATTTTCGCCAGACTTATCTGCTATTTTCGAGAAGATGGACGAAGTTGTTGTCAAATTTATGCGTTTCCAAGTGGTTTAGTTGGGTACGGTTGTGCAGGCTGAAAATCGAAAGACGTGTAAATCTGTAGCTACCTATTGAAAACCGAAGAAATGATAGAGCAGCTCACTTTCGTTTACGATTGAAATAACACAAAGAGAAAATAAATAGTACCATAGTCCAAGTCCGTCAAGTGGCGGCGGGCAGCACTGATGGCTTCGCAGATGTTGGCCATGTGGAACATCTTCGCTGGCTTGCCACGGAAAACACGGAGAAGCTCGTCGCGCTCCTTGGTGTTGATGCGGTACTGAATGTCCTCGGCTAAGAAGTTGGCCTTCTGGTCAACAGGAGCACCATCAGCAACAGCTTGCTTCTTTGGATTCTCTTTCGTCATGTTTCTCAAGGCAGCATCATCAGCCTCGAGCAACGACGACAAAAAGTCATCATCATCGTCTTGCTGTACAACAAGAGCTGGATTGTTGTGACCAGAAGAAGAACTCGAACCCACAGCAAGAAAAGCTGCGCTCGCAGCCTCAGCATCTTTCCTCATCTGCTCACGCTGCTGGTGGCGCTGATAGTGTTCGGCCGTGCGGTTGAAGTAGTGTGTGTCCAAGGTCTCCATCGGGTTGATGGGCTCCGACGGAGAAGCGCCCGACAACAAAGCTTCGTCACCATCTAGAGCAGTAGGACAGAGCTTGAGTCCAGCACTCTTCACGGCGACTCCGTGGCTGTATAACCAGTCACAACAGATTCCCATCTTCTCGCGCGAACCGATCTTCTTCTGCAGACGAGCAAGCAACGACGGACGCACCTTTTGACCAAGAGCAGAAGTCTTCATGTCCTGGACAGTGTCACGCAGCTTATTCCAGTACTCCGCTGGAATGTTCAAGTTCGCAGCGTCGTCGATGCCAGCCTCCATCTTCTTCTTGGACAACTCATTCTGCGCGACCTCTGCAAGGAACTCGGTAGCCGTCTTGTACAACTCCTTCTTGCCAGTTGTAGACCCAGACCCAGCAGGTTTCAGTCCAAAAGCCTCACAGGGAGCGCTGTAGTCCGCCTTCTCGAAGGGCCAACGGTTGGCCTTCGCTTTGTTTTTGATCTTATCAGCGGCGACACCCAGAATCTGTTCGGCGGTGAACTTCATGGAGATCACCTTCTTGGGCTTGCGTCCTTTCGCTTTTCCAGCAGCAGCTCCTAAAACTTCATCACCTTGGGAACTCAGCATCTGGCGCTGTGAGTTTTTATTAGAAGAATTAGGAAGGCAGATGATGAATGGATTGGATTGCGTTTGTGGGTTGGGAGGAGGATGCGCAGTCTTCTTTTAATCAAAACAATCCTACCAAAATCAATACTCAGTAGCGAACCTCAGTAACCCCATTTGTTTTTTCTTAGGAGCTCAACCGGGAACCCAGTCAAGCTCCGAAACAAGGGATATCCATCGGCATATTGATAAGGCTAAAAAAAGATAAAGAAGTGCCCAAGATCGTAACTTTCCTACTCTTTTAAGTTTTTCCGGTGGTATACTTACTGGCATACTTCGTAAGATATTGCCTAGTATATTACCTATGATATTACTGAGTTATATATTTTGCAAATAGAAAACCCTACTTCTCCCAAAACAAATACCCCGGAAGTATCCACATCAATACACCATTTTATAAAAAAATAAGAAGAAGAAATATACCCTGAAATATACAAAAATAGAAAATAAATATACCATTTGAGCATCGTTCTCAGCACGCATTCGCTTCTTTGCTGGAGATTCGTCTTCAGCCTCATCATGAGCGACACCGGCAGCCACTTCGTTGCCGTTTTTAGTGTCTTGGCCTTGATCAGCAGCAGAAGAAGCAGGAGCAGCTTTAGCCTTCGGCTTTTTCATCTTCTTCATCGAAGTGGTAGTAGTAGTAGCAGGCGCAGCACCATCGTCACCCCCTAACATGTCATCTTCTTGGTCACCCCCAGCAACCTCGATAGGAGCATCAGCATCAGCAGGAGCCATTTCAGCGTCGCCTTGTGTTGCACCTTCTCCAGCATTCAGCACTGCAGTAGCCTCCGCTTCGTTTGGAGGCGTGTCCGACATGGTTGCGAACGGTATTAGAATTTGAATGATACAAAGTAGCTGATATCGAAACGCTAAGTACTTGAGTACTCGTATTATCGCAATAAACGTCCCACTCCGAAATTAACAGAGCCTACCCTAGAAACTTACCTGGCCGAACTATCAAAATGCGCCGTGGGGTCCTCCTCGGCGCCTTACCTGTCTACTTACCTGAATCACCACGACCGACTTCTGAAGAGCAGGCTCATCGACAGATCCGCGCAGTGCAACCACCTCAACGCGAAGTACTAGTATAGTGCTACTCCTCCTCCACCGACAACGACGCCCCAACAACTTCTCATCTACGAGCTTGCTGCTCTTGTTAGTCAGGCGGAAACGCATCAGCGTCGCCCACTCTAGCGCGCCGCGTACTACTTCATCTAAGATCACCTCCTAGTGCTAGCACGTGCTTGCTGTTGTGTCGCTCTGCTGCGAGAGGACGCTGATTATCTGCAGCGTCAGCCCCACCCGTCCTCGCTTAGACGTCGAAGGCTGAGGACTTTCGTCTTGCTGCATCATCTCAGCAAAATAATTCACGGCCAGGACAAGAAGTTGAGGGGAGGATCTTCAAGCTCAGCATAACATGGAACCCAAGCACCGCCAAGTATCGTTCCAATGTCAAAACAGCACTACCCTACGATGTAGAGAGAGGCAAAGCTAAGAACTGAACTTACCACAAAGATCCATAAGACTAAGGAGGAGCAGAGGCACATTTAGATCTTAGATAAATGATATGATACGACAGAGACAGACAAAGACGCTAGCACGATGTAAGTAGAAGAGCAGCAAAATGCCTCATCGGGAGAGTGAAAGAGTACCCAAGTCAGAGAAGTAGACCCACAGCAATAAACTCAGAAGGGTAAGAAGAGACGGAAACCAAAGACACATAATTAATTCACGGCGATAAGCATAGGCATAGGCCACAGGGTGGAAAGATTGCTTGACAGACACAGACGGCCAAGTTAGACCGCCTAAATACATACAAAAGGTAATAACTTAGTAAGAAAGTAGATACATAGATACTCGTCGGTCGTGGGTAGAAAGCTAGCTAGCAAATGACATCCATGGCGCCATGAGCAGTACATGCATAAGTTTCCACCTGGATAGAATGAGAGCCACCAGGAGCGGCGACGTTGATCTACAGGCAGAAATAAGAAACAACACAAGGTATACGATAGCATCAGCCTACTTATTAGGTAGTTGGTAAGTAAGT